TTTTTAGGTTTATTAGCTATTATACACGAATAAATTATTATTGTAACATATATGAATATACATTTAAATATATTATTATATATATGAACGTTTTCTTCAGCGCACAAATTTTGTACATCTTACGGTAATATATACATAGTGAGTTTCCGTTCATTTTAGTGGTCTTGGCTCTAGTCGGACCGCTTGCTTGAGCTGGCGCTGTCTTTAGGTCAATACACATAAACTAAAACCTGTTCTACCCAGACGACGCTTGTGCACACCTCGGCGGTGTTCCCGACTCAGAATTATCTTTTCTTAGGTGAATTAAGAATCTATGTTTTGACAAAACTCATGTCTGCACCTCGGCAATGTTTTCGTCTTAGCATTTGACAAAATTTAGAATTGACAAAATTTGAAGACAAAATTTAGAATTTGTTCTCGTTTAGCATCTCCCTTACGGATCTTATCTCGTGCGTGGTGTATGAAGCGAGAAATATTGTATATCATTAAAATTATAGTCGTCTCATTTGGTGCGCAATATAATTTTTATTTTGTTTCTATCCGGACCCAAGGAACAGCATCGAGCTTTCTTGCTACCACAGCTTTGCTCAATTCAAGCCTCAGCAATAGAGCTAGATTTCTATCTCGCAGAAAAAAAAATATTATATTAAGATTTTTAGATTGTCTCGTCCGAACGTCATTCACATCGAACGTCATTCACATCGAATGGGAAAGCAAAAGCTTGTGCTGTCTCGTTCACATATATTTTGGGCTATGGTGGAATTTAACTCGTCGTGTTTTGCTTATGACGTACTGCTAGCATTACCGTAATCTTGCCTACCGAGGAAATATTAAGATTGATACCTTCTACATGTATTGTAAATTTCAAGCCCACTTTGGCAGCAACATTTTAGATCTTAAGCTGCGATATATTAATAACCTCTGACGGGAATATTAAGGAAATTTTAGCAGGGTTACTTTTCAATAACTTGTTGCAAAACTTTTTAACTTGACCGGCAGCAAGGCAGTTTCCGCTTTCTCCGGTTGAGCTGACAGCGAAATTAAAAAAATTTGAGGCATACGTCCGACGCTGAAATTTACATTTGCCGCGGACATTTCCCCTCAATTTTTTTACATCCACATGACAAACAAAAATACAGTGTATTAGTATAAGTTGAATAAAGTTTAAGAACTCATTTTTGCCTAGAAATTTGCCCCGTCGCGTTAAATTAGCGTGAGTAAAACCATCATTGTATTTAAAAAAGATATTATATATATAGTTTAATAAGTTTCTGATTGGAGCAGCGAGCCGATCAGTTACCGGCTCTAAAAAAAAACAGTTTTTTTTCGCCTGGAAATAGATTGACTTTGAAATTAATTTTTCGCTGCCGATGAACGCGATAATGGATAATTGCCTTTGTATTAAAATTACGTTTTTTAGTGTAAGTGACTATTAATACGTTAGAGGTTATTTTTTATGACGCGCATGCTCGTGACTTATCTCATTAAGTTTGTTTTCTTATTTTAAAATTCCCTGAAAATATTCTTCAAGACGCCGAGACTTTTCAGATTTTCAAGTGAAAAACGCTTACTTTGGAAATATAATATTTATGGTTTGCAGCAGCCACGTTTCCATCGCTCATGACGTAGCATTAATCATCACTGGTGCAAGACGTTAAAATGTTTTTCTTTGAGCAGTCGTTGCTGCAATATACGAGTAGAAGTTTATTGAAGTTTGCCCGTGGTTTATCATGTATACATAGCCTTATAACTGATATACAGTTATAACTGATAACTGTAGAACTTTAATGATGCTTTAGTCCAAATTCATGCATTCAAAGGGACCAAATAAAGACGAATGTTTATTGCTCTAGATACAATTATTTAATTTTCGATTTGTTTTATGTCAAGCTATTACGATGCGCTTTAAATGAAGAATTCAAGATCATCAACATGCTCAAGAAATAATATGAATTTTTTCCCTGCATACGAATAATATTGATCAATGGAAGCGATCTTTTAAATACTAGTACGTCCAAATTGAAAATTTGCTTTGAAGCTTTCTTTTTTCAACGATTCATGATCCCCAAAAAGATGGTAGTTAAAAGAAAGTTTAATGAGCCGCAACAAACTTATCGTTCAGTCGCAATCTTCTGCGTTCAGACGCACGTTCAGATATTTGCGTCTATTCCATGCAGTGGGGATATTTCTTATATTCCAGTGGTGATATTTTCGTCTATTTTATGCAGTGGGGATATTTCTTATATTCCAGTGGTGATATTTGCGTCTATTCCATGCAGTGGGGATATTTCTTATATTCCAGTGGTGATAATCTCATTCTTTAGCCATAATATACTTACAATTTTATTCCAACTTGTGAAAAATCTATTTCAACATCACTCTTAATGTAACCTCCGCAGCCTTGAACATCATATCCAGCACAGAGGAGAGCAGAAGATAGTGAAAATAAAGTGAAAATGAGTAATCTCATCTCCATCTTCAACGGACGTATCACTGTAAGTGTAAACTGTCTGTAACTACCGGTCGCTACGTCACTCGACAATTTCCTACTTAAGAATATGTATTCCGTCCGTAACAATGGACAATATTCCAATCTCCGGCTGTCTGTTCTATCTTTTTTCATCAAATAATGTTCTGTCTGAAAAATCTTCTCAATTTGCTAGCTAGGCTCCAAAATCGAACTATTACTGCTTAATTTATAATTAGAGTGCTTAAACTGCGTCTTAAAAATTAGAATCCGAGTATCTCATGCCCGAATGGACTAAAGGATGCATCCACGAACTATGATTCTTCTGAAAGCCAATTTGATAACAGGCGCTGCATAAAAATTGCTTTTTAATAAAAAAAAACTCAGAGGACACAACTATGGCGTGTAAATGACATTCTAAACATTCCGACTTCACAACACTGATATTCCATTGGACAATCTTTTCAATGGTGTGAATATTCTTCTAATAAAATCTGTATACAGTTAATGCAAACCTCAAGGTTTGCAAACGTTTTGAGGTTACTGAAACTTGTATATGACAAAAATTTGATTGAGAGTGTCCATTTGGAAAAGTGATGTAAAATGGCGCGTTAGTCGAAAGGACACAATCGTTTTCTTATATTCTCCATTAAAAACCGTGATTGGTTTTTAATTGTCGTTTTCTCTAGGTATCTGAAAGCAGAGGTGGGCAGTAGCGCGCTACATATAGCGGCCGCTACATTTTCAGTAGCAGTAGCGGTAGCGGCGCTACATTTAAGCAACTGTAGCGGTAGTGCCCCCTACATATTTAACTAGCGATACGAGGTTTTGCCGCTACAGCGCTACCGCTGCGGCTACATTTATAGATAAAGCCTTTAGATTTGACTTAATAGTTAAAAACCAGCATGATACATATAAATATAATATAATAGCAGTTTTCTATATTCTATTGGAACTCATTTATTGGTAAATGTTATATGACATCCTTCAGATAAAGATGGTGTTCGAGTGCCCGATTCTTGACTACGCTGAATTCTCGTAGCCTACAGCGCATTGAACCCGCAACTCTCAGCTTGAATTTTGCTCTTCTCAAACACCTGACCTCCTAGCTGATTTTGACCAGATGTGTTACACGAAGCTGGGGATCGCACCCACAGCTCACTGCTCCAGTCCTGGTACTCAGAACTGGAACCTCAACCTATCAAGTAACTGCCCCAAAACCGCAATTATACTATAAAATTGTACTTACTTAAATACTTCAAAAGAAATATTGCATGCCAAAACCACTGATATGTAGGAAGGGGTGGAAATAAGTGGGAATAGACCTAATGGTGAGGACCTTGCGTTGGTCGCTCAATACATCTGAGTCACCCTCAATAAAAAAACCTGTAATTACAAGGTTGTGGTCTGACTGTCCCGACAAATCGCCTCAAGAGACAGAGCAAGTTCAGGCTAAGTTCAGAGATTTTTTCATTAGTATGAGGATCCGATACAATTTTCATTCCACTTCCAGTTTGGACAAATCTGCGAGGCGATTGGGCGGCTGAGCGGCGGGTGCACGGCGTCAAGCAGCGATTTGCGGGTTCAAATAATTAGCAAGCTAGTCTATACCATTAGTATTACTATAGTATTCCTATTGCTATATTACACTATGAAATATTATATTATGCTACAATGATTGAATTGCCTTGATCGGAACATGCAGCACGCGATCTCGTCAGCGACGACGTGACTCTAATTCCAAGTGACAGGAAAGTTTTAGAAGCTGTGATCGTGTCTTGTGGAACGCGGATGTTCGAGACCAAGTGTTATGAAAAATCAAGTTATGACTGCCACAAACTTCATAGATGAGTTATGCCCTGTTCAAAAATCGCACATTAATGAAGTTATCAGAACAATTCACTGGTAAATTGGGTAAAACTCATTGGGTAAATTGGGTAAAACTCACAATTGGGTAAAACTCATTATGATATTAAAATTTATCGGGAGGATGAAGTGATGCATCAGACAATGCTTCGTTAATGAGTTGCTTTGCTTCCGGTTTTAACAGTTTAGAAAATGAACGTAAGCCACGTCTTAAAGAAATAATTAAAATTAGCGGTTATCAAAAATTATTCAGGGTTTTATAATTTTTCAATCTGGTACAAATTTGGCTGCGAATCTTAAAATAGGGCTTCAAAATTCAGTAGCAAAATAGTAACATCGTCCTGCTGAGCAAAAAAACATGCAAATATGTGTTTACTCTTTGCATGACACTCAATAGAAGAATTAATTTCCAACAGTTCTTTCTCGCGTCGTAGTTGTCTCGTGAAATTAAGCAACGAATTTTACTGAGCGGGTACCCTTCTTCCACTGTAAAAACCAAGTAACAGTAAGAATAATATAATATACAATTTAAATGATTCCTAACAGAGAAGCGCCCCCGCACTTTTCGAAGCAAGTGACCGAGCCATGTTAATTTCTACTGCAGCACTGAGCACGCACTCTTATTGTGGCTGCCGACTGGCGAGACGGTTAGTGTTGCTCTGGTGGTGGTCGTTGTAGTGTGCAGAGTGTCGCTTTCGCTCTCCATCGTCTCGACTGACTGATCCATGTTCCAGTGATGATGTTTGCAACCAGCCGTTTGAATGACAACGAATACGTTTGATCCATATAATATTGTGTAATAACTTGCTTTAAAATCCTACCCTCACGAGGCTCCACACACATTACTACCCATAGAACATAGATGGTACTGGTAGAAACTTGTTTTCTGAATATCTCAACTAATTTGAAGACATTTCTCACCGATGATTCATCGCTGATTCCTTTTTCCCACAAAATATCTTGTAATCAATATCTTCATTGAGTACAACAGTAAACAAGAAAGAATTCCTCCCACTCAATGGGACCTTGAAATTTAAACAGCGTCGCCTTTCCTGGTTTCGTTGGAAGAACCTTGAAATGCAATGGGTGGCATGAGAGAATCCTTGAGACGCGACGCTCAAGCTTGAACCTTTCTCTCTATCGGGGGAGTGAAAATTGTGACCTTGGATTTTCCTTACTTCACTCCAAGCTGAGTATTATTCTATCATTGATACACTAAATCACAGTCCTACTGTTGCTGGTAGTGGTAGGTACACTTCATTACACTCCGAGTGTCACTGCTACACTTCATCACACTCCGAGTGTCACTGCTACACGTAATATTTTCAGAAGCAAGTTTTTCGTGCGTGGTTTGATTGAGCAGATCTCAATTGCAAACTCAACAGCGTCTTCTGCCATTTTCTTCAGGTACTATCCCATTTGGTTAAGATTATTACAAGCTATTCATTAAAGTTATCTGTAATATGGGTCTATGTTATTATAATTATAAGGGCATGGGTTAAATGCACTTTTTGTAATCAGCACACACTGGGCTTTTTTTTTGCCTGGGCTTACTATACTTATCGGTTGAAAAATGTTAATAAATTTGAATCTTACGACGCATTAGAAGCTTTTATAGCGCAATAGGCAATTGACGGTTCATAATTTCCACGGAAATGAATAATTCTAACGAAATATTAGTTCTTCGTATCAAAAGAACCGTTACAGATTGTATATAAACGATACTTAAAAGATAGTAATTGGCGGGACTGCATTTAACGTCACTTAATCCCTCATGGTTGGAACGTCGATGATATCGTTCGGCGCGGAAGTCGTTACACGTAACGGCGTCCTTGTGACGACGCGAGCGCTTGCTCTGTACAAACGGTATGTACTGCGTGTAAATTTGAAAAAAATATAACTCAGTACTCACTGCAGTGAGAAATAGAGAGCGCATTTTCTCGTCGACGAAAATGCGAAGTCACGGACGGACAGACAGACAGACGGACGGACATGGCGAGCGCAATAGCGCCTTTTTTTCCACAAATGAGAAAAATGTGCTAAAAATAGGACATGGAATATGGAAATTTTAATCAACAATATAATGATATTGCACGAATTACAACAATAATTAATAATAACGGCAATAATAATTTTAAACAAGTACGTAATGTTTTATAGGACTTAAAATGAACAATTAATTACTTACGCCCGGAAATAAAAAATTGCAGAAATAAAACATTGGTACTCTATTGCAATTAGTTCAATAATTACTTATCCGTAATAAACAATCACATTGAGATCTTATGATCGAATTTTGAAATTAATACTGAGTTAAACCTCTCAAAAAAAGGTCACTCATTCGTCCATACATATAAATTAAGTCATTTTTTACAACACTTCTCTTCAACTTCACTTCTTGTTTGATTGCTACAAATCTTGTAATCGATATTTAGCATACTTCTACCTTTCCCATCGATCTGAAATTTTGCACACTTGCATAAAGTTGGAGACAATGCATGCATCAATTGACAGATAATATAAATTTATAAATTAAAATTTTTTATATAAGAAAATTTGAAAAAAATATTAACTTCACTTCTTGTTGTTTGTCTGTCTGCTAGAAATCTTATAATCGATATTTGACACACTTCTACCTTTCCCATCGATCTGAAATTTTGCACACTTGCATAAAGTCAGAGACAATGCTAGTTGAAAGAATAAGTAATTTTGCAAAATTATAAAATTTTAAAAATATAAAAAACTTGAAAATTAATTTATTTTAATCATGAAAATAAAATTAGAAATTCATTGTACATGTGTAACATAAATGACACTGGATTCTATAGAAGTGTTGTCTCTAAAAAGTACTTTTTAAACGCATATTATTTAATATTAAAAAAACTTGATACCTGTACAATATATGAATAAATAAGGTCATAATATCTGACACTTGTTATCGACGTATTTGTACCTAACACTTGTTATCTATGTATTTGTACCTGACACTTGTTATCGACGAAGTTATACTCGAAATTAATTATTGATGTGTGTGGGCGCGTACTACTGAGAAGTGAGAACTGATCTCCTTTAACTGACGCATTATATTCATAATCAAAGACTGGCTTCAAGCAGCTTGCTGCGAAAACATAGCTAACTTTGTGTTTATTATTGATGCCGCAATATAGATATCAAATGCCTGGCATTGAACTTGAATATTACGGATCAATGTGAGTGTGACATAGAGCAAGGAATTATGTCGACAGCCATAAAGAGTTGTGCTCGGAGATATGCTAAAAGTAGGCTTCTGAGAGGCATAATAAACTTATTATGAACTCTATGAGAGATAAGACTCTGCTCTTATAATTTTCATGGAAAAGGTGTAACTGAAGTCAAGGTCAAGGTTTCGTATTAGAGCTGCTGCGCATTGTAAAGATTTATGGTTTATTAATAATTTCTGACACGTCGACCAATATGCAGCAAACTTCTTTATTGAAATGCACCGAAATATTAATTATGTCAATTTGGGTCAATTATAAAAAATATCTTGCATACCATCACGAATAACATGAAATTTATAAGAATCGTATTTATTAACGGCAATGTCTTCCTCCCTGTACCCTTGATGCCATAGGTCATGGAGTACGGCGGGCAATGCAGCACAATGCAATAAACAAATAGTAATATTCATGTAGCTTGCTGATTGTGAGCATACGAGTGTGAAGAGCATAATAACAACAGTGTGAAGAGCATTCAACAGTGAAGAGCATAATAGCATCAGTGTGAAGAGCATACGAGTGCTCAGACACACACTGTCAGACGCGATAGCTTATAATGAACTCACTGTTACGTTTTCAACACAAACACATAATGATTTATGAAAATTTTGACTCGTGGCGCCAGCCGGGCAAAGCCCTGATTGGCCACTATAAGCTGCTCCTTCGATGCAACCTGCACTCAATGAAATGAGTGAGTCTTTTGATACTAAAAGCGATGCTCGTTTTGCCCCCTATGGGTCATTCTGACCCATTTTGACCTGGTAAAAGTGAGTGCTACGCGTGCAAGAAGTGGATCACCATTTGGACAATATTACCCAGTCATTTTTCTGAGCCTAATGAAACTGGGCCTATACTTTCCAAAAAAGTTAAGAGATCGTAAGTTCATCAGCCAATCATTGACGGCCTTTCAGGCAAAATCCACCAATCATAGATAAGAAAATATTGCGTAAGTACTTACGTTCACGTAGCGAGTTTTGAGAGTATGCCCCCGGGGTCATACGTAAACGAGCTTGGAAGCAATCTTATTTTGTCAATTATTTTAACGAAGTTTGGGTCTTAGCGGAGCTCAACATAAGTCCCGGAGCAATCTTTACGTAAAATATAATTTATTTTCGTTTATTCTTTTGGATGGGATAACAATAATTTAAATATTAACGACTCGTACTTAATGTAGCAGAAAATTAAATGAAAAAATTCTAGACCGCTCATGTTTGATATAGCAGAAGAAATCTCAAGTGAAATGAAGTATTATGGATCTATGTTTGAAGTAAAGAGAAAATAAATAAAAAATCAGTAATTTTCAAGACATATAGGTTCCTAGAAATATCTAAAGATATCCGTTGCTAACAGGCTTTATCGTTGGAAGCCGTTCATATTCACTTTCTGTTAAAATACCTAAATCGTTGACATTCGTTATGCAGGAGTAATAATTAATCGGTGACATTCATGTCACGCGGTAATAAGAATTTGCCTGCAATGGTCGATTTCACCGCCAAAGTATTTATGGTGACCTTAGGTTTGCAATTTGTTTTCGTAGCTTGCGATCAAAAAGGATTTTCGGATCAACGTTTGTTGGAACCCGCAAGCCGCTCTTAAATATTTTTCCAGATTAACAATTGTATAGTTCAAGTACGTTACNCTGTCTCTTATACACATCTAGATGTGTATAAGAGACAGCTACCATACAGTGCGAGAACACTTTGCGTTCGTGACCCGCTTTGGTACTTATTTACTATATTTACCTCGGTTACGTTTTCTGACTTCCCGTTGTCTCATGCCGCTATGATCCAATTTTCTTAGCATTACAAATTGACTGTTTGTTACTTTACTTTGCTTTTAGTGTTCAATAAGCAACTCTTAGAAAGTCTATGAAACCGAAGTGAAAAACCTAGTTTTATCTAACCTAAGACATCTTCTATTTATTCAAATTCCAAATTGATTCCAGGATGTTCCTTTAGTCATTTGATATTCGCTCGTAAGTTGAATGGTCGCAAACATATTTATTTTTTTAGGTTTATTAATTATTATACACGAATAAATTATTACACTCTATCCTAATGTGTATTAAAGTGTTTCTTCAGCACACATATTTTACACCTCTTTCGGTGATATATCCTGAGTTTCCCTTCATTTTAGTAGTCTCCATGAGCTATTACGGTATGTAATGTTCGCTCATAACATATAACTAATAATATAATCAGAGCTGGGCAGCGCTACTTTGAAATGTAGCGGCCGCTACCGCTACCGTTACATGCTCTAAATGTAGCGGGCGCTACCGCTATACCGCTACAATCGCTTAAATGTAGCGCCGCTATACCGCTACTGAAAATGTAGCGGCCGCTACATGTAGCGCGCTACTGCCCACCTCTGAATATAATTATATAATATATTGCTCTTGAATAATATTGATCACAATAGAATATATTGCTCCTAAATAATACTGCTCATAATATTTTTGATTTGAATGCGAAAACAGAACTCAAAGTTAGAATTTTTCCTCTGCTTGCAAGAAAGGCAGTTGCTAAATGGCTCTAGTCGGACCGCTTGCTTGAGCTGGCGCTGTCTTTAGGTCAATACACATAAACTAAAACCTGTTCTACCCAGACGACGCTTGTGCACACCTNTGAAGCTTTCTTTTTTCAACGATTCATGATCCCCAAAAAGATGGTAGTTAAAAGAAAGTTTAATGAGCCGCAACAAACTTATCGCTCAGTCGCAATCTTCTGCGTTCAGACGCACGTTCAGATATTTGCGTCTATTCCATGCAGTGGGGATATTTCTTATATTCCAGTGGTGATATTTTCGTCTATTTTATGCAGTGGGGATATTTCTTATATTCCAGTGGTGATATTTGCGTCTATTCCATGCAGTGGGGATATTTCTTATATTCCAGTGGTGATAATCTCATCTATTCCATGCAGTGGGGATATTTCTTATATTCCAGTGGTGATATTTTCGTCTATTCCATGAAGTGGGGATATTTCTAATATTCCAGTGGTGACATTTTCGTCTATTCCATGCAGTGGAGATATTTCTTATATTCCAGTGGTGATATTTTCGTCTATTCCAGTGGTACTTGGAGGTCTTTGAGGTACCATTTCTGGGGTATTTTCGCAGCTAATGCATAATATTTACTGCATTGTTTTGCGC